TCCAATACACTACACTACAACTACAACTACACCTTCACTACATTCCACTACACTACACTACACTCAGTTACACTACACTACAATACATCCCACTACACTACATTACACTACACTACACTCCACTACACTACACACTACACACTACACATTACACTACATTTCGCTGCACTACACTAATTGCATTACACTACACTATACTACACCACACTACACCACACCACACCACACTACACTCATTTCCACTACACTACACTACACTACCCTACCCCACATTGCATTCCATTACATTACAGTACACTACATTGATTACACTACACCACAACTACAACTCCACTACACTACAACTACAACTACAGCTGCACTACACCACTCTAGATCCAGCAGTTGTGGGTGAGGTGACCGACCAGGTGACCACTGCAACCATTGCAGCCACTCCAAAAAACACAGCTCCAACCACCTTTCGGTCCATCAGTGGATTCGCTCTGCCATCCGTGATTCACAGCAGCCAATCCTTCCTATAGGTTTCCTATTTTTGAAACTTCCGCCGCCGCCTTGTGCGGTACTACTGGTATATTTGTAGTTGTAGTTGTTGTAGTAGTGTAGTGTAGTGGTACTTGTAGTTGTAGTTGCAGCTGTAGCTCTTGTCGAGTCTATCTATCTATCTGTCTATCTGCAAGCTTGAAAACGAAGCAATTCTGCGAGACTTCCTCAATTTTTGAAGTTGACAACATCAAAAAACGAAGCAATTCTGCGAGACCTCCTCATTTTCCAAAGTTGACAACATCAAAAACGAAGCAATTATGGGAGACTTCCTTCAAAAATGGAAAGTTGAGTGCTGAGCTGACGGCCTCGTACCAATACGTGTTGCGATTTTTCCACTCCACCTGTCTAAAGTACTGCGCCTGCGGTGAAAAAGTGATGCCAAGTCATACGGAGTACTGCACCTGTCACGCAAAATCATCTCAGCAAACCCGAAGATCTGAGGCTCCAAACCCCTGGTGCTTTTAACATCTTGACTTCGAAATGTGCTTCGCGCTACATCGGCATGAACTTGTTCGACATCGCAACTTCTAAAAGTGCTCCGAAGCTGAAGTGTTTGTACATTTTTACTTCGAAATGTGCTTCGTGCCACAACGGCGTACACTTTTTCCACATCTCAACTTCCAAAAGTGGCCCGAACATAGTGTGCTTTGTACATTTTGACTTCGAAATGTGCCTCGCGCCACAACGGTGTGCACTTTTTCGACATCGCAACTTCCAAACGTGGTCCCAACATGGTGTGCTTTGTACATGTTGACTTCGAAATGTGCTTCACGCCGCAACAGCGTGCACTTTTTGGACATCTCAACTTCCAAAAGTGTTCCGAACCTGTTGTGTTTTGTACATTTTGACTTGCAAATGTGCTTTGCTCCACAACGGCGTGCAATTTTTCATCTCTCATTTGCCCAGCGGGCTTCGCACCCGCCGCTTTAGCGAGCCTACTTTTCGACCCTCTGGAGCCACAAATCATTGGAAAAACACAGAGTTTCGGGGCACCTGGATCTTCTTTCTTCTGAGACTTTCTCTTCTCTGATCTTCTCTCTTCTGCTCTTCTCTCTTCTGCTCTTCTCTTCTCCATTCTTCTGCTCCACCTCTGCTTTTCATCTGTCCATATTGTCGGAAGTTTGACTTCTAAACTTCCTTCAATAACTGGGGCTTTAGATTGTTACCGCAACCCAGACAAAAAAGCATAGAAAAGCAATATCCTATCCAAATGGGTACATCACATTTCTACCGTTTTAGCGTTACTACAATATCTATAATTAGATAAGTGAGAATCCGACCGCAAAAGTAGCAACCAATGGATTATTTAAAGCGACTTATCAATGATACAAAGACATACGCATCAAAATTGTCCAAATAGGTTGAGAACTTTTCATATTATTCCATAGATAAACGGCCAATCGCGTAGACAATCAACGACAAGGCTCCGTCCAGCAGTCGCCAGGGAGACCCTATCCTGAGCGTGGTGGGTGCTGCGCGACAAGACTCTGGTAGTTTGGAGGTGCGCCTAGTGGATGGGATGTTTGGCCAACAAAGAAAGGGATTTTACGACCAAAAGTTGAGATTTACTACTTGTGATTGTTATCATAATACGAAATATGATCAGCAATATTACCCTCCTGTAGCAAAACGAAGGTATGGTCGTTTTCGTTAAACATCTTCCCACTCGGAATCATGATCCCCACGGACAACCAATTCACAGTTCGGCCCCGCCACGAGTTGGGATGCTCATGGAGTATGCTCACAAGCTGTTAGCTCCTTGGGATGCTAAATGCATCAACCTTAACATCATTAAAGATCAGTTATACTTTGGATATACCCCAGTTGTGGGTCACTAACCGCCTTAAAGATTGGGATGCACCCCGTTTTCTTATCAAATATCATGAAAATAAAATATTCAGATATAGGAATAGACAAGCTCAACTATAATGAGTACAGGTTGGTCATCTTCGGTTCTTCATATCTGAATAGATTCTGAATTCTTACATCTGAATATACATGTACATATATATACATATACAGATATTGTAAATTCAATGTTGGCTACAATATATCCTTTGGAGTAAATATGTTCATATTTTCATACCAGATATTAATCATATGTTCAGAAATATTCTTAAAAAATATTCGATCTGCATAAATAGATACAATCACCATACTAATCATTTTACATATCTATATATATATACATATTTAAAACGATGTTGATTTTTAATATCAAACATAACAATATTTATCCATATAGAAATGGGTTACATATTACAATCAAAAAAACCTGGGTTATCCATATTCGAAGGAAGTTTAGAACTCAAACTTCCGACAATATGGACAGATGAAAAGCAGAAATGGGAAGAGTCAGAGAAGAGAAGAGAAGAAGAAAGAAGATCAATAAAGAGAAAGTCTCAGAAGAAAGAAGACCCAGGTGCGCGAAAAGGTAGGAAAGTCGCGAAACACTGAGTTTTTCCAATGATTTGTGGCTCCGGAAGGTTGAAAAGTAGGCTTGCTAAAGCGACGGGTGCGGAGCCCGCTGGGCAGATGAGAGATGAAAAATTGCACGCCGTTGTGGCGCGAAGCACATTTCCAAGTCAAAATGTGCAAAGCACCAACGTGGGACCACTTTTCGAACTTGCGATGTCGAAAAAGTGCAAAAATACCAGGGGTTCGGACCACTTTTGGACGTTGAAGCGTCGCTTTGCGTGGCAGGGGCAAGGGATTGTGCACCTTGTCAAAAGTGAGTGAGGGTTTTGTGCCATTTCCAAAAACGATGGCAGGCGTGGGACATTTGAAGAGGATCTGCAAAGATGCATTTTCCGTGGCAGGCGCAGTACAAGAGACATGTTCATCAGACCTGTTAGGACGTCCGGGCGCTGATTTCCTGAGAGCAGTTGCATTTTGGAGCATCAGATCTTCAGTTTTGGGAGGATGATTTTGCGTGACAGGTGCAGTACTCCGTATGACCTCGCATCACTTTTTCGCGGCAGGCGCAGTACTTTAGACAGGTGGAGTGGAAAAATCGCAAAACGTATTTGTATGAGGCTATCAGCTCTGCACTCAACTTTTGAAGGAAGTCTCGCAGAATTGTTTCATTTTTGGTGTTGTCAACTCCGAAAATTGAGGAAGTCTTTTGATGTTGTCAAGTTCAAAAATTGAGGAAGTCTCGCAGACTTGCTTCGTTTTTGATGTTGTCAACTGCAAAAATTGAGGAATTGTCGCAAAATAGCTGCGTTTTCAAGCTTGCAGATAGACAGACAGATAGACAGATAAACAGACATATAGATAGATGGATAGGTAGAAAGATAGAGAGATAGTCAGGTAGGTAGATAGATCGATCGATAGATAGGTAGGTAGATAGACTGATCGATAGATAGATAGATAGGTAGGTAGGTAGGTGGGTAGGCTGGTAGGTAAATGGATTGTGAGAGAAAGAGAGAGAGAGAGGAGACTTAGAGCCTTAGTCCATCAATCGGTTCACTCTGCCATTTCTGATTCACAACAGCCAACCTCTCCTATAGGTTTCATACTTTTGAAACTTCCGCCACCGCCTTGTGAGGTACTACTGGTAATCCTAAAGTAATCATACTCTATATTTATGATATATCATATATTAACCATATTCTTCATTAATATCATGTATTTGTCATGCATCATTTACCATTTTTCATTACATATATGAAAATATATGAACTGTTGCATTCTGTAATAAAATTATACCAGCGTTGACCCCAAACAGATGTAGAACATCTGAATTATATTTTAGTTTGCGGCAAAGGATATCATTTCAGCATACTTCCCTGCATTTATTGCCCGCCCTGCCCCATGCTCCCCAAGGAACCCAGGGTGGGAGACAAGTGTGGGAGACAAGTGTGGGAGACAAGTGTAAACTCATGCGGCCCAAGGAACCCAGAGTGCGAGACAAGTGTGGGAAACAAGTGTCGGAAACAAGTGTGGGAGACAAGTGTGAGAGACAAGTGTGGGAGACAAGTGTGGAAGACAAGTGGGAGACAAGTGTAAACTCATGCGCCCCAAGACATCCAGAGTGGGAGACACGTGTGGCAGACGAGTGGGAGACAAGTGTAAAATCATGCGGCCCAAGACACCCAGAGTGGGAGACAACTGTGGGAGACAAGTGGGAGACAAGTGTAAACTCATGCGGCCCAAGGCACCCAGTGTGGGAGACAAGTGTGGAAGACAAGTGTGGGAGCGAAGTGGGAGACAAGTGTAAACTCATGCGGCCCAAGACACCCAGAGTGGGAGACAAGTGTGGGAGACAAGTGGAAAACAAGTGTAAACTCATGCGGCCCAAGGCACCCAAGTGTGAGGGACAAGTGGGAGACAAGTGTAAAATCATGCGGCCCAAGGCACGCAGAGTGGGAGACAAGTGCGGGAGACAAGTGGGAGACAAGTGTGAACTCATGCGGCCCCAGGCACCCAGAGTGAGAGACAAGTGTGAGAGACAAGTGGGAGACAAGTGTAAACTCATGCGGCCCAAGGAACCCAGAGTCGGAGACAAGTGGGAGACAAATGTAAAGTCATGCGGCCCAAGGCACCCAGAGTCAGAGACAAGTGTGGGAGACAAGGGGGAGACAAGTGTAAAATCATGCGGCCCAAGGCACCCAGAGTGGGAGACAAGTGGGAGACAAGTGTAAACTCATGCGGCCCAAGGAACCCAGAGGCGGAGACACGGGGGAGACAAGTGTAAACTCATGCGGCCCAAGGAATCCAGAGTGGGAGACAAGTGTGGGAGACAAGTGTGGGAGACAAGTGGGAGACAAGTGTAAACTCATGCGGCCCAAGGCACCCAGAGTAGGAGACAAGTGGGGGAAACAAGTGTGGGAGACAAGTGTGGGAGACAAGTGTAACACTCATGCGCCCCAAGACATCCAGAGTGGGAGACACGTGTGGGAGACAAGTGGGAGACAAGTGTAAACTCATGCGGCCCAAGACACCCAGAGTGGGAGACAAGTGTGGGAGACAAGTGTAAACTCATGCGGCCCAAGGCACCCAGAGCGGGAGACAAGCGTGGAAGACAAGTGTGAGAGCGAAGTGGGAGACAAGTGTAAAATCATGCGCTCCAAGACACCCAGAGTGGGAGACAAGTGTGGGAGACAAGTGGAAGACAAGTGTAAACTCATGCTGCCCAAGGCACCCAGAGTGTGAGGGACAAGTGGGAGACAAATGTAAAATCATGCGGCCCAAGGCACCCAGAGTGGGAGACAAGTGCGGAAGACAAGTGGGAGACAAGTGTAAACTCATGCGGCCCAAGGCAACCAGAGTGAGAGACAAGTGTGGGAGACAAGGGGGAGACCAGTGTAAACTCATGCCGCCCAAGGAACCCAGAGTGGGAGACAAGGGGGAGACAAGTGTAAACTCATGCGGCCCAAGGAAGCCAGAGTGGGAGACAAGTGTGGGAGACAAGTGGGAGACAAGTGTAAACTCATGCGGCCCAAGGCAACCAGAGTGAGAGACAAGTGTGGGAGACAAGGGGGAGACAAGTGTAAACTCATGCCGCCCAAGGAACCCAGAGTGGGAGACAAGTGTGGGAGACAAGTGTGGGAGACAACTGTGGGAGACAAGTGTGGGAGGCAAGTGTGGGAGACAAGTGGGAGACTCATGCGGCCCAAGGCACCCAGAGTGAGAGACAAGTGTGGGAGGCAAGGGGGAGACAAGTGTAAACTCATGCGGCCCATGTAACCCAGAGTGGGAGACAAGGGGGAGACAAGTGTAAACTCATGCGGCCCAAGGAACCCAGAGTGGGAGACAAGTGTGGGAGACAAGTGTGGAAGACAAGTGGGAGACAAGTGTAAACTCATGCGGCCCAAGGAACCCAGAGTGGGAGACAAGTGGGAGACAAGTGTAAACTCATGCGGCCCAAGGCACCCAGAGTCGGAGACAAGGGGGAGACAAGTGTAAACTCATGCGGTCAAGAAACCCGGAGTGGGAGACAAGTGTGCGAGACAAGTGTGGGAACAGTGGGAGACAAGTGGGAGACAAGTGTAAACTCATGCGGCCCAAGGCACCCAGAGTGAGAGACAAGTGTGGGAGACAAGGGGGAGACAAGTGTAAACTCATGCGGCCCAAGACACCCAGAGTGGGAGACAAGGGGGAGACAAGTGTAAACTCATGCGGCCCAAGGCACCCAGAGTGGGAGACAAGGGGGAGACAAGTGTAAACTCATGCGGCCCAAGGAACCCTGAGTGGGAGACAAGTGTGGGCGACAAGTGTGGGAGACAAGTGGGAGACACGGGGGAGACAAGTGTCAACTCATGCGGCCCAAGGAACCCAGAGTGGAAGACAAGTGTGGGAGACAGGTGTGGGAGACAAGTGGGAGACAAGTGTAAATCATGCGGCCCAAGGCACCCAGAGTGGGAGACAAGGGGGAGACAAGTGTAAGCTCATGCGGCCCAAGGAACCCAGAGTCGGAGACAAGTGTGGGAGACAAGTGTGGGAGACAAGTGTGGAAGACAAGTGGGCGACAAGGGGGAGACATGTGGGAGACAAGTG